ACTGAATGTTTTTCTTATTTGAAATGTGTAATATTTTCAATAACTTCATCTTTGTATTTTATAGCTTGCGTATAATTAATTAAATAGTAAATACATACGTTGGCGCCTACCATTGTTATCGTTATCATACAATATTATAATAAAATATTATGAAAAATAATTTCAAATCAATAAAATACACTTCTATTAACGCCATTTATACATTCATAATGATTTTAATTATGATGTATTAATTTAGAATTGTTATCACATTTTATTTCTTCAAAGAATTCTAATAAATGGTAAACAATTTTTAAACAAAATTGGATCAAATTTTCAAAAATAATTATTCTGTTATTGATCAAGTTTGCTGCTATGGAAATGTAAACAAAATGTAGTAACATATTGCAATATTTGTATATCTACATTTAATCTGTGTAAACCAGAATATCATAATTGTGTATTTAATTAGAATAGCTGTGAAAACTATTTAAAATGTCTGCTTTGCTGCAAGCCAAAGTATTTTACGGTTTAAAGACTGACATAATTTCGAACATACATTATCTTTCGGACGTAGAAGTCTTGTATCCTGTTGGTAATGTAATATCACTTCATCTTATTCCGCAACGTCGCCAACGATTTTTACGTTTATCTGATAAACAAGAGATAAATATTATTGCTGTTACCCATAATAAGTATGTTTCCCTATATTCCCAAAATGTATACTCCACACAAAATTTATCAGTTATAATGCACCTATATTTCTTTTCCATTCAAGGAAATATGTCGCAATCTGCGAAATTGGAGAGAAACCCACTATATCTATATACGATGTTCAAACTTTGAAGAGAAAAAAGTTGCTTGGAATACCTTATGATGCACCTGAAGTTACTAAATTTACCTGCATTGATTTTAGCTTTGATAATCAATATTTAGCAGCAGTTACAGGGGAACCTGATCAAAAAATGCTTTTCTACAATTGGGAAAAGGGAAAATTGGAGTCAAAAATTAAAGTAGGCACTCAGCAAACACCACCAGCTATTGTTGAATTAATAGCTTGTAATCCATCCGATGTAGGAGTAATTGCTGTTGGTGGTTCACACAATTTCAAATTCTTAAGTCTTTCTGAGACTGTCTGGCGTCCATATGGATTCTCGAAAGCAGACAATATACTTGCATGTTCTATGGCTTGGTTGAATTCAGATAGATTATTACTTGGAACTGAAGATGGAAGAATTCTTTACTTAGAGAATGGTGACTTAAAAAATATTTATAAAATGAGTGATACAACTTCTATGAATCTTAGAATACGGGAAGAGTATGTCATACAAGCAGGTGGTTCACTAATTGATGTTAAAGAAAAAAATGATTGGGAAAATAATATTCGCTGTTTAGTTGCTTTTCCAAAAGGCTTCGCATACGCACATGGTTTTAGAACAATTGTACTGTTTGAGAGAGAAGGTCACCATAAATATGTGAAGAGAAACGTTTATATAATTCCAACACAGCCATCTAAAGACGAGAATCGCGATTTATACAGAATAAATACTATAGGCATTAATATAAGTTTGGATCATTTAGTAATTACGACAGGCTGGCCCCAATTATTTCATATAAGATTGTGGGGGCCAGATTTGAACGTAGATCCAGAGCCGCAGGAACTGCGGCTCTTAAGTCAAGCATTGCATTATGGACCTATAAGTAATCTCTCAATGTGTGCTTGGAAATCAATCTTTATGACTTGTGGAGAACTCGACCATAGTATAAAACTATGGGATTTTGAGACGGGAACGTTAATTTTATTTAAACAATATGCAGAGCACATTTGTGCAATTTCTTTGCATCCCACCGGACTGTTTTGCTTAATTGGTTTCAGTGATAAGTTACGCTTCATGTGTATATTAATAGATGATCTATTAACCATGGAAGAATTTCCTATAAGGTGCTGTAAGACTGTAACTTTCAGCCATGGTGGCCATTTATTTGCTGCTGTGAATGAAAATATCGTACAAATCTACACAACTGTTGATTTCGCTAGCTACTTTATTTTAAAAGGACACACTAGTAGAGTAAAAGCTTTGCTTTGGTCACAAACAGACACAAAATTGTTAACATTAGGCAGTGAGGGTGCCATATATCATTGGGACATGAATACTGGTACCCGTTTCGCAGAATTAATTATAAAAAACATAGATCTACACGATATTGCAATATCTATTGATGAACAGATTGCGTATTGCATCGGAAATGATAGTTTGATACGTGAGACCAAGGAAAATATGGTAATTCATTCATATGTATATATGTATACATATACATGTATGGTTCCCCCAATTTTCTTCTCGAAGATATCAAGGGCACTGTTTCTATTAGGTGACGCGAGAATATAATCTTCCAGGAGTAACTATGAATAATATGCTATTAGGGAAACTGGATCAAGTGCTATTTATTGTCTGTCCCGGCGGCAATATTTTGTCAGTAAACTATCCACTTCAAGAGCCAGTGTTATATTCGGAATTCAACATTCACGCTGTTGATATTACAAAGGTGAGGACGTAAAAATAATGCAAATACAAATAAAATTTGACAACTTACCAATATTCTATAAGATGCGCTTACTGATAACTAGAAATGCAGGAATCTATTGAATAGTATTAACAATATTTGTAATGGAAGTATTTCTGCGAATGATATACTAACATTAAATGGTGGTTTCATAGATTGCACTTTCCTTCAATCAACAATACTTAGTATCTACAGGAATCGACGGTAGTATATGTATTTGGAAGTTGCACTATACCGAAGGAAAGGGAAAAACAGGAAAAGAAATAAAATACACAAATGAGGTGTTAATTAGTAAAGGTGACCTGGTAGAGAAAATACAGACTATAGAAGACTTGAATGTCCGAATGAGAGAAAGAGAAAACGAGCTCGCATATAAAATGCGTCAAATAGAGGTGCTACACAACGATAAGGTTCGAGATCTTCATAAAGGATACTGCGAAGCTATCGAAGAACTGAGGGACAAGATAAGCAAGTTAAAGGAGGATCACAAGAGTGAACTAAATATAATAAATATAGAAATAGATAAAATGAAAGAGGATCACAATGAAACGATGAAACGAGTGGAAATGAACTACGATGCCAAACTTATCACAGAATATGATAAGTACATGAAATTGGAGGAACATATGACCTCCATGCGAAATGACTATGAGCAGCGTTTGCAGGAATTAGAAAAACAAGCAGCTGAAGAGTTGCAAAACACGACAGACAAATATGAAGCAATATTGCATCAGAATAAATTACAACTAGAGGAGACTCAAGATGAAATGGCACATCAAGCTCGGGTTCACGAAAAAATGGCGATACAAATAGAGGACGATGCTGACCAAGAAATTCTAGAATTAAGAACGAATTATGAAAATTTGTTACACGAGGAGAAAGAGTTGAATTTGAAGCTTAAAGGGGAAGCTGGAATGATAAGAAACAGATACTTGATTAGTCAGAAAGCTGTCGAGGAACTAAAGAGACAAGTGGAACGTGTTCAAAATGAATACACTTACTTTCAATCATCCATCCAAGAGTTGGAGAAAAGTAAGATGGATTTGAAGAAAGAGATAAAAGAGAGAGACGTCACAATCCAGGACAGGGAAAGCCAGATATACGAAATGAAACGTTCGAACCAGGAGCTGGAGAAGTTTAAATTTGTGTTAAATTATAAGATAACTGAATTGAAGAATCAGATAGAGCCACGAGACCAAGAGATTAGGGAGTTAAAAGAGAAGATACAGGACATGGAAACAGAGTTGGTAAACCTCCATAAGACCAACGTTAGCTTAGAATTACAGCTACACGAGTTGAGGGAAAAGTTGAAATCGGCGAGACGCGAACTGCAGCACGAAGATCATCGAGGTAAAAAGTGTCAACAACTTCTGAAGAAAATTCGCGTAGACTTGCTGGATACGTCCGGACTTGTGCAAGAGCCACAGGCCTTGAAGAATGCCGTAACAAAACTATACCACAAGTACAGTGCTGGTGATGATTTCTTGCGTAGTCGTAAGGCAGACTTTGATGCTCAATGTGAATTCATGAAGCAGAGGGATCATCTGGAAAGAACGATAGGTTCTCTTAGGAAACAAGTACTGCAGGATAAGCCAGGTGTTGGAAAAGATGTGAATAAAACAATAGAAGAGAATATTGTGTTGATCACAGAATTGAACACACTGAGGGAAGAGTTGAAAGATGTCAGAAAACATATATTACATATGGAAGGCCTTCTTGGTTTAACTGGAAAAAATGTTACACCGTCTGAGGCGAAAAAGAAGTTGGAGAATGCATGTTATGGTTATGAAGAGCTGCAGAGCAAATGTAAAGTACAGATGCTAGAGTGTCAAGGTATCATAAGCGCGTTGAAGGACGATATGATCCATTTAATAGACAAATTACCATGCGAGGAGAAGATAATTAAATCGAATTTTTAGGTACTAGGCATATGTATTTTAAAAAATAAATTACTTAATTTATTAAGTATGGTATTACCGCGTAAATTGTTTATTTGAGGAATAAAAATATTGGTAACAAATTCCAGAAAACTAGAAACATGAAAGTAATAATTACCGTTACCATGTTCCTAAATTAAGAATTATTGTTATGCCTTTAAAGTACAAATGGAAAGATAGCTTTACGGCCTTTAGGATAGTTTGAAAATTCTTTCTTATATGCCTTCTGTTTTCCTAATGCCCACATGGCCATTTGGTATGCGCCGGCTAAGGTGAACAGAGCAGCTGAAATAAACAAGTGAGTATGAATTTGAATATTATATTTTTCTTAATAAAATAAGAACTTATATTCGTACCTGGAAGGCAAGAAGTCATAATGGTGAAACCAATCCAACTACCTATTTCATAAGTATAGTTTGGACATGAAACCAAATTAAAAAGTTGTGTGAATGGATTTGAAGTAGGTACAGGTATCTTCCGCACTGTGGAACCTGCTGGTCTGAGGTTTTTCAGAGCTAAATGAATGCTTAAATTACCGAGCTCACAAAGCCCAAATATTGCTAAACCCACTAATAATCTCAATGAACACGGACTTGTAAATAGTGGGTGATTTACATGATATGCTACATATGCAGTAAATAACCAATAATAGGAACAATTTTTGAAAAGATTACGCAGTGGCATTGTTGCATGACTGAACCGGTGAACAAATAGAGTTTCTAAAAGCCGCTTTGCATAATGTATCGACCAACAAATAGCTGCAACACTGAAATTAAGATTGATTAGAGATCCATTTCAATTATTTTTGATCATATAAGCATAAGATAAACTTACTGAACTGTTGTATCCATTCCAGATGTAGAAGTATCACCATAAAAGATCCAAGGACGCTGATATATCCATAAGTATAGAAATAATGGACCAGCATATTCCACAAGGAATACACCTTTCCAACTAATTTGTGGTCCAAGATCTTTCAAATACAATTTTCCATCAATGATAGACAAATCTTTCAGTGTATTTGAATCTGACAAAGCTTTTCCTTTAGGATCTAGTCTCAAGCTTTGCCTATTAATATTTGGTGCCTTTTTTAACTTATGTAACTCCTCCTTGACATCTTTTATAGTGGAAGTTGGCTTTACCTGCATATAAACATCAAAAAAGTGAGCAAAAATCAGTAAATATGGAAATTAATGTCATAAACTTGTCTCATGATAAATTCAAAGTGATTTTAGAAATAGAAGTACAATTTCTAAAAGCATTATTATCATAATTATTTCAATACGCATTACGCATATACATCACGAAATTATTTGAGTTAAACTTTCCAAGGATTTTCCGATTAAATTGTCATTATGAATGAATTATAATAAAAGTTGCATTTCATACACCTTTACCCTTTTCTGTTGGACTTTGATATTGTATGTTTACTACTTACGGACACATTAGCAACGAATGACGATTTTGCGGTATATACTTTTATCTAAAATGCGAAAGAAGTACATTATTCTAAGGATCATTTTTTATGGGATATAATTCGTTAAAATTAATTATATTTATTTCACTGATAAATACCTCCATTATCACTTGTAATTTTTCTGATATCTTGCAGTTTAGCGAAACCAAATCTTTTCACGATGCTCACTCACGCTTCCAGTAGACTAGAACGCTGAGTTGCTGAGCGCTGAGACAGTGGTTGTGGCAGAACAGGTCAGTACGCGGCGCTGTCATCGTTCGATCGTACGATTATACAAATAGCTTTGAATGACCAATGGAATTCTTTTGATGTTTTAGGTTCAACATTCAACTTCGATCACGAAGTGTCGTTTAATTAAACTGCTACATGAAATCTAAAAGGTAGACTTTGGACGTCATTATTAGACATCGGATGTTTCTGAAAATTTACATCTCTGTAGCCGGATACAAGTAAACAGTAATTTATATATTTTGTTCTTGTTTCATAGCTCTAGAAGGGGGAAAGGCGTACAAAACTACTTTTGAGTACACTATTTATTTTATTCTAAGTTTCTGTAAATATAATTTACTCAATATGTGTTCAATAACTTGTTTTATTCGACGACTTATATTTAAGGAAATTTCTGTTTAAGGATATGTGGTAACGTAATAATATCTTTTTTCTGATATATTCGTATTTCATAATTAAATCATAACCCAGGGTCATAGAGCCGTTATTTAACGGCTGTATGTAACGTTTTATAAACTTAGAGGCATCGGCAGAGTATCGACAATGACATAATTAAAAAACTGGCGTGTCATTCTTGCATAAATATTCATAATTACGATGTAAATACATTCGAAACATTTCGAAACAAGAAAGATTCAAAGGTGAGTTCAATAAGGTAAACTGATTTTCGTTTTGATTTCGTATAACGTTCGTAAACAAACGATACGAACAATGCAGTTTTGAAAAATAAAATGGAAAATATTCTGTTTATAATGTAGGAGTGCGCGACTGCAATGGCTGCAAAGTATAGTTACATTTATCACAAATATTATTATTCATTAACTGTACTTTCTGTTTTCAATTATGTAAAAAACGCATTCATCCTATATAAGATTGTAATTTGGATAATATCTTTTTCGAATGAAACAGAAAGATGTGAGTACGTAAGAAAAAATCACCGAAAACGTTAACGTCGGAATAGCAGATCACTTTCTTATCCATGAGTTCAATCGATAAAATCAAATCTTTCCAGAAAACCTACTGTAAAGTCTACATCGAACAGGTATAGATGTCGCAATCAATTCAAATCACGTGTACTGAAAGTAAATAATTTAATGAAATGTACTGTTACAATCTCTTAATCATAACAAAATATTTCCGACACAATTGTGTGCAAATTAAATTACTTCCAGCTTAAATCACACCCGTGGCTTTTCGGTACTGGCCGAAGTGTTCCAAATACTGTTGTATGGTATCCAAGGGCTGGTAGATATCATTCATTCGGTTCTACAAAGAAAAAGCAAATAATAATTGTAGAAATGTTATAAAACTATTATTTAATTCAGATTCTGAAATTCCCACCTGTAAATATTGTGGAGCTTGATTCGACACTGTTGGCCCAAGAAAACCTTGCAAAAACTCTCGCATCAACTCCCAAGCGCTTCCGGGGATCACACAGGGTCTGTATTCAACCTGCGGAAGACATTAACGACGATAATGTATTATTTTGAGTAAGCGTTAATAGGACTCTAATTAAAAAATGAATATGATAGCGGTAAAACGTTTCCTCCCTTTTATTTCGACTTAGGACATACGAATAATAGCGGGCGCAGAACGTGAACACTTGGTACAGTGCTAGGCACCGAATTGGCACTTTTGCCGGGTCATTGGTTGACCAGAATGAAACGGCAGAAAAAAATGAGAATAGGTGTATCGGTATGTTCCCTCGAGCGTTGCACTTTACTCTTCCTTTAGTAGAGGGTTTCGCCGGATATAAACTGTGTACGGACAAATAATGAGACACTTCTACCATTACATACCCGTAAACTTTTAAAAGCTACTTTTCCTACATACATACATAAGAAAATAACAATTTTGATCCGTTTGTTGGTTACCCAAAAATATCTCCTTCGAAAAAACAATTTAATCTTCTAAATCTATATAAATATAAGGTTCCTGCGTGAATGAATAATAAAGAGACGAATTTACTGAAGATTTTCGATTAACATTAAATAAAATTCTTATTGTCAACAGAGATGTGGAGTGTTTGTTCAATCTCAATTTTCATAAAATAGCCTATGGAGGCTCGATTATTACACGAGTAAATTATTATGCTTTGTAAATGCATATTCTGTTAACAGATTTCCTGTATACACTCAGCAGATGTGTTTTATTACTAAACTTATTACTTGCCGTTCAAATGAGAGGTACATATGTTTGAATTCTTGGTATGGAACATTCGTAATTTGTTATACTGTCATTTAGGTTAATGCCTGAGAGACATAGGTAGTTCTTTATTTAACAATACGACGATCTACAAATATTTGAGACTATAGTATAACGAATGCGTTCTACATTCCGACGATAACAAATCTACATCTACATCTACATCTGTACATCCAACGAAACGATATGCTGCTCTCTTAGTCGCTCGTCCCTCTTTCACCGCTGATCAAGATCTCCGACACTCTGTGCCAAAGGATCAGCTATCGCCTCGATCAAGATAGCCGGCTTTTCAACGGTAACCGTTGAAGAAAAGCCAGAGAAATCCTTGAGAAATCTTTCTCTTATCCTAACTTTTACAAAGTGATCTATAAAAGTAGGATCTCGAATAAATATTAGCTAGCTATTCATCAATTACCTCTTTGATGACTTTGCACCGCTTATTTTGACGGCATTCTTGCGGAACAAGTTCAATAAATTATCGTCAAAGCGCATTTAAAAAGATCCGCTTCTAAACTTTGTAGTAGAGGTCAGAAAAATAACAAAGTTACAGAGATAACCAATTAGAAATATGTTTAGATTTATAGAAAATTGCAATGAATGTTTTTACACAATTCTTTGATGTTTTGCCTAGGAAACTTCTGACTATGGTTCTACAAAGATTTACGTTTACTCTTATCAATTACAGATATCGAAAGATGTCCTTAATTGTTTGTATCACATAACAAACCTGCGGATTTGTAACAACAATGAACAAGTCAAAAACAAAAGCTTAAAAACATTACAAGGATTTAAGGATATTGTTACATTATTTTCAACTGACTGCAATTATTAAAAGAAAAGAGATACAGTCACCTAATTTGTGTTCCTCACAATTAATTATGACAATTTTTATGTTGCATAAAAATCCGTATTATTTAAGGCTAAGATCAAAAACTTGAAAAACGTAATTTTTCTTTATTGTGTTAAGCAATTTTCACAAAAATTTGTTTAAACATTGTCTAGTAAGACGCTTCTTCTAAGATTTTAAAAGAATTCACGTCTTTATAAGAGAAACGGGATTTTCATCCCCAGTCTAACCCTACCGGGTGACCGCGTACGAAGTGGTGCGTCCAGATATGAAAGAATGGTCCTCGCGGTCATCGCAAAAGATTCGACCGGTTCGCTGTATCTTTTTCATGTGTACTTTGTGTCCCCTGCGACATTTTTCTTCCCCGAAGAAAAAACCGGACGCCGAGCGTAGACCGTGAGTTAGTGGCAGTCGGCGGACCCCGACGCCGTAGTATTTCTCCGGAGAAATTAATGGTGGAACCGGGGGGTTTATCGTAACGTATTCGACGTCGTGGGAGGGTACAAACAGCGCCGTTACCGATACGAATGGTCGGCGGATCGCTTAGAGGCCACGTAGTCCGACACATTCCTCCGCACGAACAGCTTCGAGCCTTGTAGAACGGAAGTCCCGCCATTGTCGCTATAATAGCCGCTGCTCTCCGGCTACATTTCGTGTTACGACGCTCTCGCTCATATCGTGACACCCGAACCGGGACCAGCAGCAAGAAATAGATGACCCGATGTAATCCGGAGAAATTCGGTAATCCAGCTGTTTTTTAATCTCGATTAAATTGCCTATGGTAACTAGGAAGTGGCACGAGGAATTTTACCGGCATGATCCAAGAAGATCGTAAAGATTTCGTGGGTGGAATAGTTACTTTTAGAGGACAAGATTGAGGACAGCGCAACGGTGCGAACAGGAGTACAGTAATTTCTCCCTAATTCGCGCTCAGAGTGCGCACAAAAATGGACAATTTTTGGGAAGAGATACGATTATTCGAGCCTTGCGGCTCGTTTTTACCGATTGTCAACAACTATAAAAAATGAGCCGCAAGGCTCGAATAACCGTATCTCCTCTTCCCAAATTGTCCATTTTTGTGCGCAATTTGAGCGAGAATTGTGGAGAAATTACTTTATTTACGTAATTTATTGTCCTTTGTTTTCGCACAACTATTCCGAGACAATGTGTTCTTATTCTTCTCGTTACCGAAGATGGCTACAGTCGCGTTCAGCGGTTCTCGTATATTAACAACTTTCTATCAAAGTGGAATCTTGAAGACTCTATGAAATTTCAAAAACCAATAAGTGTCAAGTGTATTGATTGCGAACAGCATCTTAAATATCCTGCCATTTAAAGAATGTAGGGTTATCTTGTGAAGAAGAAAAGAATTGGGATAGTAAAAATGATATAAAACAGCCGAAGATCGGCAATGTTTTACTGTAGTTTTATTGATAGAACTAATAATTGGACTGCGAATTTTTATGCACAATAAAAATTGTTCGCGTTAATTATAAGGAGCAGGAGTTAAATTCCTGTCTTCTTTTAATGCATTTAATAAGCTGAAACTAATATATCGATACTGTCGAATCCTTCTGATACGTCTGCTGCTTGAAATTGCATTTATTCATTTTTTGTTATAAATATATAAAATTCGCAGTCTACTAATAATAAAACAACTACTATTACTACTATTAAGTACTTTCAATTTAGAGTTTTTTTCTTTTTTCTTTCTGCAATATACGTATACATATATCCATTATTAATTTTATAAATGGATGGAAACTTAATTTTATAAATTAATTTTATAAATGTATTTATGTAAATACGTATGTATACAGGGTGCCCTGTATACAAGGGTTCCTGAGATCATTTGAAGTAACTTTTTCCTTGGCGAAAATGCAATCCGGGGCTTCATTTACGAATTATTAACGAAAAATACTGACCGATAAGAGGCGAGCTTGGTTGGCGCGAGGCGGCCCAGCCAACGAGTGCACGAGGCCCGGTTCTACTCATTAGTTCGGCCGCCTAGCACTAGGCGAGCTGACCTCTCATTGGTCAGTATTTTTCGTTAATAACTCGCAAACAAATCCGCGGATTGCATTTTTGCTAAGGAAAAAATTGTTTCAAATGACCTCAGGAACCCCATATTTCCGAATTGCCAGACATTTTTGGGACTGATAAGTTTTGCTCATTCATTTTACCCAGCTTTTCGAATTAAATACAGTTCCTTATTTCATTTCACACGTTTTCTCGAGGAATGTATCTGCCGTGTAAAGCTGATGTTGCATTTGCAAACTTCAAACTGTACACCACGCATTCTTTCCTGATGTCGGTCCACGTACAAGTCGCCAGTCCATCGTAATATTCAAAACGTTCAAATACACGTGTTAAAGTGACCCAAATGATTAACCCCCGATACTCTCCCGAGGGACGAATCTCGGAAGACCAATTAAGGTCAACACCGACGCAAGATTCGGGAGAGTGAGGGGTGGGAGAGGAAGCGGCATCTGTTCCGTTTTAAATCGCAGTTTCGAGCTGGGTATTCGGAAGTTTTCAAACGCCTGGAAAACTTTTCTCTTCCCTGGGGGATAGGGGTGGGCGGGTAAAGGCCGGAGATAATCGGTTGAATGAATAATTGCGGCAGATGTCTGGCCCGGGTGATTTTCGCGAAACTCGTTACGAGGCAGCTCGTTCCCTCGGTGCGCGAACCGTGAGGAACGACCGCTATCTAATTAACCCGCGATCGAAACTTGGCAAAACACCGGCGTCGTTTACGGATGTTTTTGCCAGTCGCGTGACGACTCTTTGCGTTATCGATTGACAACACGGCGCGCGACGGAACCATTGATTGCGAGCACACGAAAGTCGATTTGTCCGAAATTGTCGACAAAATGGGAAAAAGTACTTCTCAGTCTATGGCATCTAATAAACGTTAATAATAACTTGTTAATTTCTTAGTTTCTTTTAAACGTAACTTTTTCAACGATGCTACAATTAAAAGACGATCATCAGAGTTTAACCCCTCAAATGGAAATGACGAGCCTTGCTCGCAAACATTATCTGTGTCAAACACGAATTTGACGATGTGTGACCTTCGTCGCACATTTAAATGTTTAAAAACCGTATAAACGTTTTTTTAACTGTTAAAAAAATATCATTATGATATTTACACATCCTCTTGCCTTTCTGTCTATTTGAAATCGTGTCATTATAGTTATAATGTATTATTAGAAAATGAACAATACTAAAAAGGAATTAAAATAGTTTTTAAATAGTTTAATTTACATTATGTTAAGAATCGTTCTCTTAATTTCATTGTAACTTTAAAAGGATATTTCTCTATTTATATTTAATATTCGCATTACTTTATTGATCTGTTCTATTACAAATAAAATAGTGTCCACATTTATATAAATATACTAAATAAAAACAGAAATATTTTATTTTGTGATGACTACTCATATGGAGGCGCACGTTTTATTTTTTGAACATGAATCGTAAAGCAAGAGTTTAAGAAGCTGTTTTGATGTACGAATTATCTTCGCTAATCATCGATATCTTGAAACATAAACTGCGAAGATCAAGGATTGGTTAAACGTCACTTCAGACATGAAATTATATTGACATTGAAATTATATTTTACTTAATTATTTTATGGATCTCGTGAACTCGTCGATGTAGTGGAAAGCTGAAAATAACCTTATCGAATAACATAACATGAAAATTAATTGAACTCGCCTCGACAAGGACGCCTTTGAAGTTCTGATTGATGGTAACGCTGCCGAGTTTCACGCAGAAATCGCCGATCTCGAACCTCGGCCCCTTCGACTCCATCTTCTGCATCTTGTTCGTGTAGATGCTGGTCATCTTGTACATGAGGAGGTCGAACAAGCCATCCGCTATCAACGGAACTACTTTATTTCCGGATTCAAGAATGGCGAACACCGAGGCCGGTTGCTCGGAGTTGTGCAGAACGTGAAGAGTTCTCTGGACACCTGCAACAAACAATCGTAAACGTAAGATTAATATTACTGTTTAACTATGTAACTTTACATCGGTGGTTGCAGGAGAGAACATCGCACGCAAACTTCTCACTTTCGAGATCGAATCTGTTTCCATGGCTTTTTTTTCTGATAAATGTGCAAATTCTATGTATATTCTTGTCGCTGTGTTCTCAATCGTAATTACACGACACATTTTTATGCCGATCTACTACTTATTAATTTTTCCGTTAATTGTCGCTAATTTGACTGTGGATTATTATCTTTAGATATTCAATACAATTATGTAGATTTGTATATTCGTTTCATTAAATAAAGTGTAGTATGTTTCTAAGGTACGACCACGTTAATTCCTATCAATTCTACAGCTCAATTAATGCAGTATTTTGAAGTTGTGACATGTGGCGTTTTTTTCTATCAGTTACAGTTATAACGGTTATAACTTCTTCGATGTTTAATTTAAACACTGTACAATTTGTAGTATTTATGGCTTTCATCTACTTATGTAATTGTATGACTCATAATACGAATATGTAATGAAAATACAAGTACGTAATATGATCCGAATGGCATCCATATAATACAAGTATATTATAAAGTTATATAAATAATGCAAAAAATAAATATTCTTCTATTATATTTTTCCAGTTTTTAGCCAGAACACTGAATTTTCGATGATTTTGGAAACCGTTTCTGGTTGCAAAAACGCTGAACATCCTACATCTAGCGAACGAACAAGTCAAGATCGCGACAAGTACCTTGGTTTCAATCTCAGTTCTAAAGACAAGGGCATCCTATCTGCGAAATTACTCATAGATTCGTAAAAAATGGGACCTCATGCATAGAGAGCCGCAATGGGAGCACGGAATCGCGCGCTTAGTATGCTCGAAGTTGTTGTCTGTTTACACCCCCGACGTGCACGTGCATATAACGCGCGGCGACCCAGCGAAACTTCGACGCAACTTGAAGTTCGGCCGCGACCAACTTTCAGCCGGGTCGTAACGTTGTCAAGCTGCGCGTTGAATCCTCCGGACAGAACTATATCCGTATCGCGTGGTCACGTCTTCAGTCCGATCTCGTTGTATCAATAAACTCCGATTTCCTTGGACAACTAGTTTCTGGCAGATAATGTTCACCATTACATCGTTTCACCTTTTCTCCTAAATTCTGTACTCATAAAATTGAATCTGAGTTAAAATTGAAGTATTTCAGCGCCATAAATTCATGTCATAAAATTGGTCATAAACACCAATTATCTTTCGTAAACCTCAGCTCGTCGCGTAGTTATTAATAGTCTGCGGATTTTTATGCGAGAGAGAGAGAGAGAGAGAGAGAGAGAGAGAGAGAGAGAGAGAGAGAGAGAGAAATAAACATTGTCTGTATTGATTGTAAAATACCAGGAGCTATTAGTGGCAATTTGTTTCTTGTCCTAATAATTTTAAATGTCGTTGCTGTTTCGCAATTGATTTATTTATTTTCCAGCCGAAATATTTCCATTAGCACGAAAGTAAATGATTATTTCGAAGTACAGCAATTAAACCTCGTTTTTATAATTGATGACAATCGGTAATTATAAAAGCGAGCCGCGAGACTCGAACAATCGTATCTCCTCTTCCCAGATTGTCTATTTTTGTGTGCAATCAGGGAGAAATTGCTGTAATTAATGCCAGCACGTTTTCGCAAGTAATCATTGAAAATAGTTTTATCTTATATTTCTGTAATAATATACTGTGACGTGAAATGATCTGTTTCTCCGGTGAAACATAGGTCCAGCGACAAATATGGTTGTTTAATAATCGATCTCTTCGATAGCATTTTTCCGGCGAAATTGTTACGCGTCCGAGAGACCCGCTCGATTCCGGCCGGTGCCATTAATTACGCAAGCCCGTTCGTCGGTTCAGTTCAAACAGAAATCGCGTCGTTCGCAATACAGCGCGGCCGATGCATTAAAACGAAAATGCAAACTGAAGCAGATTACTGGCTGACGATTTATATCTCCGAGTCGCAGTTTTTTTTCTGGGCATGGATTTTGAAAGCGGACTTTGACGGTAGACGAACAGCAGCTTTCACCGAATATAACAATCCATCGTATTTAGTGCAGCAATGCTGTTGTTTCTGTAATCCAAATTATATCTGTACAAATAGAACTGAAGAAATGATGCTTTAACAAGTTCAAAGTTATATGAAGATTCGTTCCAGTAAACACAAAACATTTTGATTGTCTCGGAAACCAAGTTTTATAGAAGTATGAAAATACTAATACGGTAGAATCTCGATTATTCGAATCTTTGGTGGCAGAATTTTGTATTTTCCAAATATATTTCAAATATAAATAATTAAATCTGATGCGATCCATATACAGTACAATCTATGTATAAATTAATTAATTTTCTATTATACATACATATCTCCCCTATTAGTTCACGCGAATATTCACCAAAAATTACTTAAAAAGCGGCAAAATGCACAATTTCGTAACATTGATTATGATTTCATAATTTTTGGGAATCTACAGTTTACACGTTCTTAAAAAAATGTTTAACCAATAAGTCTCAGCCCAGCAATATAAATAATTTCGTTTGAAATTATCAACGTATAGTTTCATATAAAATTACTGTCATTTTAGATTATTAGCTATAATAACAAACAAAAGAATAACGGAGCCAGTAGAAATAGCTTCCACGAATAAACGAAATCCGATATTTCACGCGAATCAAACAGGTATAAGTTGAATACCTGAAACTTGATCTGAAAGAAAAACGCGACTATTCGCGCGAACGTTGAACAGCGTAACTATCCCGGATCGATATTCAACTTCCTGTGATCATGCAGTCTGTTTCTGATTACGTTAGCCCCATTATCCATCCCGGAAGAAGGTGGTTCAGTTCCGATGGGATTCCACAAACCGCTTTCGGTCTCCCCGAGTGCATCGGAGGGATTAATGCCGGACAGTTCCGAAACATACGATGTGCGAACTACGCTTGAATATTCATAATTCATCGGTCTACCCCTCACCTGGTTCGTCCACATAATACTGGGGTATTGCTGCGTGCAACCTCCGCCGTATGAATTATTTATAGGGCGAATTATAACGCGGCACTCTGCCCGCTGTCAAATGACAAAATTCTTAATTGCAGATCACGGAAGCCGCGGACAGTTTTATGCCCGTTAATTGTACACCGATTACGCTATTATTTATTATCGTGCCGGGCATTTAGCATCGGGGTGACGAACAGCGTTCGAACATACTTTACTCAATTATCCAAGCGAATAAATCGATCTTGAGTCCTCCATTCCCCGCAGCGGTCATCGGATGTATCACGAGAGATGATAAAGGAAAAATTGCAGAGTACACAAGACACGAACGTGATGAAATCGTATGTTGTCCTTGTAAAACTGTAACTCTTTCAGAACGAATTGTCGACATATTGATGACAATGATAATACATCTTATTCCAGATGTTGCAAGCGTGTAGTTTACTTATGTAAGTAAAAGATCATGACTCATTGTTCGGGATTTTCATTACTTACATGTTTAATATATGATCTAGTACTCTCAATAAATATTTCTTTATTCTCAACAAAAATATTTTCAGATCTTTACAAAAATTAGCGTCTGCGAAGAGTTAAATTCATGTTGCTACGTTTCACGTTACTAATGTAAGATATGAATAAGATGTCTATGTTATGTTATAAGATCATATGTTATTATAAATGAGATAATTATATTATAATATAATTAATTATATATTATATAAATATAATATAATTATATTATATTATAATATAATTAATTATATATTATATAAATATAATATAATTATATTATATTATAATATAATTAATTATATATTATATAAATATAATATAATTATATTATATTATATTGTATTGTATTATATTATATTATATTGTAATATTGTATTATATTATATACAACTTCTATTAACGGAAAGGGTGGATGAATTAGAGACATAAGACACAATTAAATGTAAACGCGAGTCCACTTCCTGGCATTACATGCTGAAATAAGTAAATCCAATTTAGATCGTTGAAATTTTGATTTTGTAAATAATTTTGTAAGAAAGCTTGATACAACCCAATAGCTTCCTAATTCGTGGAATCGTTAAAATTACATTCACAATTTCCGGTTTCCGATATTCTGCCGAAAACGTGAAATCCGCTGGTTGAGAGTCGAGAACGTTGTTGAAGGTCGCCGCGCCGCGCCGCGAAAAACTCGATGCGTTCGTCGATAGGACGCGTGTCTATCCACGGCTGCGTGCGGTTTCGACAGTGACCTATTTCCCCTTGTAATTCGTGGAAAACAATGCGAACGGCACGGGTCCGCGTTTCGGATTAACGAACAGGCTGATTAGAAACGTGTTCCCCACCCCAGTTGGCGCGCGTGCCCGCTTTCTGGGGTAATTCGCACCAGCGATCGTATACGGCCCTGTGACGCGCCGCATGCCGCATTCCGCATCGTCTGCATCGCACGTATGCACCGCTGCTACACGGATGCACAGGCGCCGCAGGAGCCGCAAATGTGCTCCGCCACCCCGTTGCACTCGCGCAAGGATCACCCGCCGATAACGTCTTATCGGTGTAACGACTCCGAAATAAATATCAATTGGATTAATAATCCTTGGTTCGCGCGCCACGCGAATTGCAAACCGCGTCCTTCGTGGATGCGCTTTCGTTCGCGGAACAGAATCTCAGCGGCTCCGAAAGATATTCGGACACCTTCTAAAACGAAACAACTTTGTTAAGATTGCACTGAATCGCTTGGAGTTTTTTGAGATGTTGGAGGTACTATCTATTTTAATAGATAATGTCTGGGAACTTCAATCGACTGGAATGACAAACAAATAAAGAAAATTGTATTCATTATTTAAATATAATAAATGTAAATAAATTCGAAATATAATACAATATGTATTATGTATCCGATTATAATTATATATTTTATATATTTTTCCGAATGTCCTTGGCGGTTA